CAGCTGCACAGCGCTGTTTTGCCTACAACGACCTTTTACAGCGATCACCTTATTTGATGCTGACAACACACCTGTGCGAGCGAAGGGGGGACCACTGTCGGCATCATCCCCACGTTCCGAAGAAGAGACTGAGGTTCAGAGAGAATGATCACAGGGGTGAACGCCACACCTCCCAACTGCAAAGCCCGCCCGTGTTGCTCTTTCCTCCTCACCGCTGCAGCCATGGGGTCTGGCTCCTCGGCACCTATGCAGAGGCTCTTTTTAAGTTCATGTGTGGATGCAGGGCTGTCTGAAAAAGCGTGTAGAACTGGTCCAAGAACCATACAAGGAAAATACAACCGAGGAGTGCGGCTGCCCAAATGCCAGGGAGCCGTGTGTCAGTGCGGAGGCTGCGGCGGCCTGAGGACTGCGGGGTGGGCCTGCTCAGCGCCCGCCGCGGCCTGGCTGGTCGGCGGCACTGCCCAGCGAGTCAGGATGCTGCCATCTGAGCAGCAACAGGAAACAGGAAGCAGCTGCGGGGCTGGGCGGGGCTTAGGAAGGGGGCTGGCACCTGGGCCAGGGCCTGCGGGCTGGTCAGGGCCGTGACAGGGAGGTGGGGGCCAGCATGGGGCTGAGCCTCATGTGTGTGGGTGTGGGTGTGTGTGTCGGGGCCGAGAGGAAGGGCAGCTCCTGAGGACGTTGCAGGGTGACAAGTGAGGGTGTCTGAGGCTGGTTCCTGCCTGGTCACAATCCCTGACAGTCTTGCAAAGGCCTTTGTCCTTCGTGGGTGGTTCCAGTCAGGGCACTGGAGGGACGGTTTCTGCCCTTGCCCACCAGACCCTGGGGGGCGATGGGCCCCGTGGGTCCATCCCCTGTTTACTAGCTATATGTATTTACTCATTGAAGATTTATACCCACCAACTTCCTCCCGTGTTATTTTTGCTCAGAGGGAGCACTCTGAGGTCACCTCTTGCTAAGAATAACCCAGAAAGGGAGGGAGGAGGGGGCCGGGAGCTGGCACTGAGCTCAGCTGAGCCGAAACTAGCGTTCCTTGCGCCGTGTCTGACCCTCCAATGCAACGCAGGAGTGAGTTCAAAAGGGCAGCTGCCTCACTGCAGAGCTAAGACTTGGGGTGTAAACTGGGAAGTCGGGGGACCGTTCTGCTGCAGCTTAAATCAGCTGGGCACAGTTTAAGGCAGCTGTCAGGGGTTTGCAGCATTGGCTAAGTTTCCAGCCTAATATGACCTTTTGATTCTTCTCCAAGTTAGGACACAGCTCAAATCCCCTCCTTGTTTCCAGATCAGAACTGCTCGTGCACGAACCCGTGGAGCCTTGACTCTGTGAATCAGCGTCCCCTTGTTTTTATGCACAAACTTCTTGAAATAGCGTCTCCCATTCCTGGGCTCCAGCCCCCAGTTAGCCCCTCCTAGGTAGCTTTCCTTCCCAAGAGCCTGTCTCGTTCCACGCGGCTGCCCGGCATCTCCTCGTGTTTAGGGAAAGAGGACAGTCATATCGCTCATGAGGTTAGAGACTTCTAACTGTTTCCTGCAGATTCAGCTGCTCATCCCCCAGCCTGAGCAAAGTGACACCCACTGCTGGTCAGGGGTCTGGGCTTCAAGTGTCTTGAGACTTCTGAGGATGCTGGGGAAGCCGTTGGAGGAGTGGGGTCTGCCTGGGCCTTAAAGGCAGGTGCCGTGGAAGGGAAGGGAGAGGTGAAAGGCCCCCCTCCCTCCAAGGACGCATGGCTTTGTGGGAGGCCCCGAGGCCTGGCTGAGTGGACTGGGGTTTCATTTACAAATGTTTTCTACCTTGCTTGGAAAGGTAGTTTGCAGACAGCCTGAGGGGGTTTATTCTTTATCTTCTCTGAAAAGTGTTATCTGGAAGGTTCTGAGGAGAGGACATGAAGTGCTGGGAGTCATGTCTGGGAAACTCACTCTGGCACCCACGAGCACAGGCAAATACAGGGAGATGGGGGCAAGGGTTGCCAGAAAACATCCCAGGGCTTGCGGTGGGTGGCAATGGCAGGACAAAATAGGCAGGGCCTGTGCTGTTGGCCATTGGCTGTGAGGGAGAGGAAGGCACGAAAAGAGATGCAGCAGGCCCCAGTGACACGACAGGGGCAGAGACTGAGAATTCTGGAAGGGGGCAGGCTGGGCGGGGGCCCTTTCAGAAGCCACGTTAGGTAGCTGGTCCTACAGGGGGATCGAAATCTCAGAATCTCCATTTTGTTTTTGGAAAACATCCCTGTTTCTTTTCTTTTCTTTTCTTTTCTTTTCTTTTCTTTTCTTCTCTTTTCTTTTTTTTTTTTTTTTTGAGACAGAGTGTTGTCTGGATTAGAGTGGCATGGCGTCAGCCTAGCTCACAGCAACCTCAAACTCCTGGGCTCAAGCGATCCTCCTGCCTCAGCCTCCTGAGTAGCTGGGATTACAGGCATGCACCACCATGCCTGGCTAATTTTTTCTATGTATTTTTAGTTGGCCAATTAATTTCTTTCTATTTTTAGTGGAGACGCGGGGTCTCACTCTTGCTCAGGCTGGTTTCGAACTCCTGACCTTTAGTGATCCACCCACTTCGGCCTCCTAGAGTGCTAGGATTACAGGCGTGAGCCACCGCGCTCACGAGCCAGGGCCTTTCCCTGTTTATTTTCATCCATCCACATTCCGGGGCCACCTCCAGCAAGTCCTTCATTCCTGTAGTCTCAGCCTCCGTGGTCTTCCTGGGGCCACGTGAGCTTTTCTAGAGCCGGGGCTGCACCTGCGTCGCTCCTGCTGCTGCAGGTACGCGCTGGCACACGCGTCCCAGGAGGGCTGTTGCCGAGGGTTTTCTTTCATCATCCCCACCCAGAGAATTCTGTACGTTTTGGTTCTCCCACCTCAAGAAAGACATAAGCAAGCTGGCAGAGCTCCAGGGACAAACAGCTCGATTGACCGAGGGGAGGCAGGGCTGCCAGGTGAGGACAGGTAGACTAAAGAGATTATGACTCTGCAGTCTGGAGAGACTCGGGCTCGGGCTCGGAGGGGGTGTGATCAAGCCTCTGAAATCATGTCGGGTGGGGCTGGAGGAACACGGCCCAGGGGAGTGGGGGTTGGGAGAGGATACCCATTAGAAACTTCAGAAAGGCAAACGAAGCACAGAAAAGAAGGCATTTTCCATGGTGGATTCCCTTCTTACCAAACCTGTCACCGTAGGGATGGTGGAGATTGAAAACAGAAAGAACTTCAAAAGAGATGGAGTTAAATACGTGGATCTTCTGTACATAATGGCTTTTTAAAGGGAGCCTCCAGCTCACTCTGAAATCCTTTGAGGTTGACTTCAAAGAGCACAGCCAGGCCCTCTTCCAGGTGGACAGGTGTCCTTGCTGGAAACAGAACCCCCAGTGGGTCGGCCACTCACGTCCATTTGCCACAGCTTGCAACGGCCTGGCAAGGCCACGGGCTGAGTGCTCGCTAAGGCTTTGCTGGGCCCAAAGCTCTCTCCTCGGACACAAGCAGGTGGAAAGACCTGCGGGGAGAAAGTGGAGGGGCAGCTCCTGGCAGGAGTGGTGAGGGGAATGGTGGGACGCAGAGGGGTGCCCAGGCTAGCCTGAGTGTTCAGAGCTGGCCCTTCTTGGCCTCTGGCTCTGCTGTCGCTGACCCCACCAGCAGCCTCCACTGGGAAGAAGGAAATCATAGGAATCAGGGTCCTGGTTCCAAAGTGGTGGAGCCTGAGTCCATTCACCCCAGGAAGGGTGAGCAGGAGGCCATTTGGGGACTTCTCTTGGGAGAGAGCAGGGGGCTGCCCAGGCATGGGGGCTGCCGGCAGGGCTAGGGGCGGGCAGTCATGGCCCAGTGCCAGTGCCTCGGGGCTAGAGCTGCCCGGTTTATTGGACATGCATCTGGTTCCTGGAGCTAGAGTCAACCTGGAAAAATCCAGGCTGGGAGAGGGTGACAGGCCTGCAGGAGCCGAGGAACTGGAAGGACCAGGAGTGGCGGTGTGAGTGGCCGGGACTTGCTGGGCTGTTTGTGTTTTCATTGCTTGGCATCCTTGTGCATCTCTGTCCTGTGGCTGGCAGTGAGGGTCTGTGGCCAGCTGGGGCATACCCCCATGTGTCTGTGCGTGTGACTATATGTCAAGGGGCCGAGGACCAGGCACAGTGGCTCACGCCTGTAATCCTTGCACTTTGAGAGGCCGAGGAGGGAGGATCACTTGAGGCCAGGAGTTTGAGACCAGCCTGAGCAACATAGCGAGACCCCATTTCTACAAAAGTAGAAAAATTAGCTGGGTGTTGTGGCATGTGCCTATAGTTCCAGTTACTCAGGAGGCTGAGGCAGGAGGATCACTTGAGCCCAGGAGTTTGAGGCTGCAGTAAGCTATGATGATGCCACTGCACTCCATCCTGGGCAATAGAGTGAGACTCTATCTAAAAAAAAAAAAGAAGACGACAACGCTATGGCTGCCAGACGCCTGGGTTCCCAGAGCCCCATGGAGGCCTTGAAGGCACCATGGCAGGCCCAGCTCTCTGTGGTGACTAAGACTAGGCCACCCCCATGTCTGTTGGGGTGGGGTCTTGAGGAAAAGGCAACAGGAGCCCCAGGCAGGGGAGGAAGGAGGAGGGCATCTGCCCAGGCTGCAGCCTGGAGAATGGGCTGTCAAAGCGCCACCCCCTGGTGTAGACCCCACCTCTCCTACACCTGGTTTTTACTTTTTGTGTGTAAATAAAGCAACTCTTAAAAATCACTTACCCCTGGCCAGGCGAGGTGGCTCACACCTGTAGTCCTAGCACTCTGGGAGGCAGGCGGATTGCTCAAGGTCAAGAGTTCGAAACCAGCCTGAGCAAGAGTGAGACCCCCGTCTCTACTATAAATAGAAAGAAATTAATTGGCCAACTAATATATATAGAAAAAATTAGCCGGGCATGGTGGCGCATGCCTGTAGTCCCAGCTACTCGGGAGGCTGAGGCAGGAGAATTGCTTGAGCCCAGGACTTTGAGGTTGCTGTGAGCTAGGCTGATGCCACGGCACTCACTCTAGCCTGGGCAACAAAGCAAGACTCTGTCTCAAAAAAAAAAAGAAAAAAAATCACTTCCTCCTATTAACAGTTTCAGACTTGGCCCCACCTGGGGTGAAGGAGAGGTCAGGAATTCTGATGTCTGGACCAGACTTTGAGCACAGGCGGTGGCGTCAGGGGCTGGGGACTTGCTTTTGGTCTGGACCGGTCACTGCAGGAGGCTCCTTGCTTTGCCTCTGGCTTTTCCTCCAGGCAGAGCTGCCAGGGGCATCACCAGCACCCTCTTCCCCACCCTTCCTGGGCTTACCAAGCCTCTTTTTCCTTTTCGGAACCCGGAGCCTGGGCTTTTCCTGAGACAGCCCCGAGGGGAGTCAGCTTCCAGGGCCTCTCCTGTGCCCTGTCCTCCCGGAAGCTTTTCCCCAGGTGGGTGTGGCCGCGCAAGCCTCCAGCCCTGTTCCTCAGAAGAGTGGGGACTACAGGAGCTACCTCAGGATCCCTGTGACAATCGGGTCCTGTGCTTGGCGCTAGAGAGCTGGAGAGCTCGCAGTCTGGGAGGGAGACACACTGTAAACAAGTAATTAGGTTCCCTGGGAGGAGAGCAAGGAGGTGGGGTGAGAAAGCCTTGTAAACACAGGGGGCTGGGGAGGGCCCTGCCTGCAGTGGACTTTACCCCTCCTGAGGGCGAGGCGGCCGCTGTCCGCACCTGCCCACCACGGAGGGGCCTTTGGCAGCTGGGGGTGAGGCTGAGGCCCCAAAGACCAGGCCTAGCACAGACCCTCCCAGGCGTGTGTGAGCGCGAGAGACACTCACGGACTTGAAACTGCTCCTTGGAGGACAAAGCGTTACATAGAACAGTGGCTGCTGGGGGCGCGGAGCGGGCAGTGAGCGTTGAGTGCGGACAGAGTTCCTGCTTGGGATGATGGAAAATTTCTGGAGATAGATGGTGGTGATGGTTGTACAACAATGTGAATGTACTTAACATATACCTAAAAAGGGTTAAAATGGTACATTTTATGTTATGTCTATGTTATCCCAATTGATCGAAAGTTTTTCTCAGATGTTCCTTAGGTAAAAGCAGTCCCTGATCATTGCCCCTACCCTCAACCCAGGGCTTTTCAGACACTGTTAACATTTTGGCTCGAACGATTCTTTGTTGTGGGGGCTCTCTGTGTCTTGCAGGGTGTTTAGCAGCTTCCCTGGCCTCTACCCGCTAGATGCCAGCGCCCCCCTCCATGTGACAACCAAAAACGTCTCCACACACGTCACCAAATGTCTCCCCTTGTTGACAGGGCCTCCTTAGCCTGCTTGGGTTGAGCTGCTCACAGGAGAGGCCTGAGGAGGGTGGTGGGCAACAGAGAAGCAGGAGTCAGGGTTGGGGGTCTTACCCCAACGGAAGGCCAAGGGCAGCAAACCCTGAGGGGCCCCTGAGGTGGCAGGCAGGGTGAGAAGACTCAGAATGAGGCATGCCGGTGGGCATAGGCAGATGGTGGGATAGGCCCAGGCTTTACTCACATCCAGCATGGTACTGGCTTCACAACCCTGCAGCTGCCTGCCCCCCCTGCCAGCCCCCACCAAGGGAGGAGAAGTGAGAGTGCTCGCTGCAGCTATTCCCACTCTGAAGCTGTCACCTGCAGCTGCAGCCGCTGTTGGTGCCCTCTAAGATGGCCACCAGACGCTGCCCAGGTAATGGGCAAAAATGAGTATCGTGGGGGGAAGGGGAGCACTGTGTCTCCTTTCCAACCACTGTCAAAATAAAAGCAGACAAAAGTGGATTGTTTAACAATCACCTCCGATGTGGCAGCAAAGCTGACCTCCTAAGACTGTGAGCAGGGTCTCACTTTTAACCTAGTCTTTGCCATTAATGAGTCAGTCGGGAATGTTTGCCGAGCGCCCGTCAGGCCCCACGCCATGCTCAGCCTAGCTGCAGCCAGCGAAGTCCCTGCCCTCCAGCAGTTGGCAGGTAATGGTGACGGTGGACTGGAGAGGAGAGAAGGGGGCGGACGGGAGGGCACAGGGGGTCTAAAGGCCAGGCCTGGCGGGGATATCCTCTGCCGGGGTCCGGGCCGTGGTTCATGCCCTTCTTACCTGAGATGCCCCTTTTAGTGAGCACCCGGCTCCTCCCCAGAGGTTAGAGAGTGGCTTCAGGCCACTTGCCTGTGGACCTCGTGCCTTCTTCTTGGTGGATTTGCTGGCCCAGTTCTCCTGGGCCCCAGAGAACCCCATTGAAGGGCCACACTTAGCCCAGGGGTTCTGGATGGGTGCGATGGATCGAGGGTTGACAAGGTCAGAAGTCGGCAGCCCCTCAATCCCAGAGCTGTGGCTGACTGGGCTCACCCAGACCCAGAGAGGGCAGGCCGTGGGAGCTGGGTTGGCTGGGAAGGGAGGAGGGTGTGGACTGTCGGATGGGGTCTGTGGGGATTTCAGCCGCTGAGCTAACCCTGGGGCTGCAGCTGTGGGGCTCCTCCTCTGCACAGTGTGCCTGGCCCCCTCCCGCCTCTAGGCACCTCTGGAAGAAGGGGTGTCTGATGCTGCTGCAGACCGGGGTCCTTGGGGCAGGGCCGGGGCAGGCGCTTACTCCATGCGCGTGAGTGACTGGGTTGTCTGGCCCCTGGGGCTGTGCTGGTCTCAGAGCTGGCAGTCCTGGGTCTCTGTGCCATGGAGCTGGCTGGCAGTCAACAGGAAGTGCGTCCCAGAGTGAGAGGAGGCCGGGTGGCCCGGGCAGGAAGTGATAGTGGAGTTGCCTTGAGCAGCTTTGCGGGGCTCAGAGCCTGCCCCAACCTGAGGTGTCTGTGGGGCAGCGAATGGCAGGAGGAAAGAAAGACACCACCCTGGTAAGAGACTGGCTCTGACCTACACTCAGGCCGACTTGGCCAGATGGGACCCCACACCCACCTCCCTGGCAGCGCCATGTTCGGGGCTCCGTGGTGCCCACCACAGCTGGACCACAGCTGTCTGGGCAGAGATGCACTCCACTCTCCGGCCTGCCTGGGCACATGACGGAGGCTTGGAAAGTGACAGGTCTTACACCAGAGAGGATCATTCTAGGCCGGAGGTGCCCTGTTTGCTTAAGCACTGATGTGGGAGAGAACATTCCGAGCCCTGGGGACGGTCCCGACACAGGGAGTGGAAGCTGGGGGGTGGACAGGGGTCTGCTTGTTTCACTTTCCTTCCTGTGTTGGGCCTTCCTGGCTCTGCTGGCATAGGCCCAGGCCCCGGAGTCCAGCGGAGGACTTCTCACTTCCACCAGACGCCTCCTCTTCCTCCTGTCGGGGCCTCCCCGCCCCCAGCTCTGAGGAGCGCACATGTGCCGCTTCCACGGGAGGCTCTGCTGGAAGCTGGCCCGCCCAGGCGCCCCGCACAGCCCGGGAAAGCAGCTTGGCAAGGCCTCCACAGCGCCTTCTGCTTCCTCTCAGGCTGCTCCGTGAGCCTGGGAGCCACGTCCAGGGAGGGAAGCCTACCTGGGAGGACTCGGGTTTGGTCCTGTTTTTCTCCAAGGCCCTTGTCCCTATTTGCCACCTCTGGGCTTCCTCACCAGATAGCAGTGGACTCAGAGTTCAAGTCCTAGACCCTTAGAGCAGAAGCAGCCTTAGAAACCGGGCCGTGCAGGGCAAGGGCTGGGTACGCGGAGTGTTCCCGGGCTGTGCACTCGAGTGGCCCACCTTTCTCAGGGGGCTGTGGTAGTGTCTCTGCGCACTTAGATGGCCAGGGCACCTTTCGCCTGGCCAGTCCACGTGTGAAACTCTATCTTATGGAAACACGCAGGTGTACAGAGAGCTGTAAGTGCAAGGATGTTCACTGTAGCAAAAAGTAAACCAGCCTGAGGGCCCACCGGCAGGGAGCTGTTTGCATAAATTTTGGAGCATTCAGATCCATATGCACTGGGATGGAGAGGTGCCCACTATGCTTGTTAAGTGAAAAAGCAAGTTGCAGAACATTATGACTAGTATGTTACCCTTTTGAAAAAAACATTTCTGGATCCGAATGTGTGTAAGAATACATATGTATAAACATGTAACTTACACATGATTGTAGATGCATAGAGAAAAGTCTGGAAAGGATACTCACCAAACTGTTAATAATGGTTTACCTTGGGGAAGTGATTTTGGGGGTAAGGAGTTGGAATAGGAGCTTTAGGGCTGGCGAGGTGGCTGACGCCTGTAATCCTAGCACTCTGGGAGGCCGAGGGAGGAGGATAGCTTGAGCTCTGGCGTTCAGGACCAGCCTGAGCAAGAGCGAGACCCCATCTCTACTAAAAATAGAAAACATTAGCTGGGTGTTTTGGCACGTGCCTGTAGACCCAGCTACTTGGAAGGCTGAGGCAGGAGGATTGCTTGAGCCCAGGAGTTTGAGGTTGCTGTGAGCTAGGCTGACACCATGGCACTCACTCTAGCCTGGGCAACAGAGTGAGACTCTGTCTCAAAAAAAAAAAAAGGAAATAGGAGCTTTAACTTTTTAACTCTAGTCATTTTTGTGTGGTTTGAATTTTTATAAATAGAAAAAATAAAGACTTAAAAAAGACAAAACCTCCATTGGTTTAGCCTAATCCTCTAAGGTGGGGAAACCAAGGTGCTCTCTGAGAAAAGTGTCCTACTGAGCAGATGTTACCCTGCCCTTCTGGGGGGCAGGCATTATTTTGCAAACAGAGCCACCGGGCAGCCTGGTGGCCCTGGGCATGGCAGAGTACTGAGCACAGGGACCCTTCCTGCCCCAAGCTGGACACCTCTGTCCTTCCTGAGGTGTCCTGGCCCGCTTCCTTCCAAATGGCTAAGGACCGAGTATGTACACACAGCAGAGCGCAGGGGGTACCCCGCTCTCCTGCTCTGTCCTTAAAACATGTGTGACCTTAAGCAAATCACAGAATTCTCAGAGAGCCCCAGATTCCTCTCCTGCTTCCCAGAGAGACTGAGAAACTCTACAGGGGTCATAGGTGAGAAGAGCGTTGCCCACCGTTCAGGGACACACACAACAGCCAGGAGTACTCTTGATTTGATTGTTATTGCCTGGAACCTTAGCAAGTTCAGTTCTCTGACTTGAGGGGAAAACAAGTACGTTCCCTTGTGAGGGGGCAGTGTGGGACCCCGTGCCCAGGAGGGGCTGCTGCAGAGACTGCAAAGTGCTTGCTGGGGCCTCGGCTCTTCTGGGTCTGACAGCCTGGGAGAACCCGTGGGGGCCCAGAGAGTGCCTCCTTGGGAGGCCTCCTTGTCCCTCATGCCTCGAGAGACCAAAAGAAAAGCTGAGAGTCAGACCAGCCTGGATTCCCAGAATTGATCTGGGGCCACTGGAACCCTCTGGAGAGGGGGTCCTGATTTGGATTATGGGGAGCATTTGTTTTTTACTAGGAGCTGCAGAGAAGGCTTGGAAGCCTATGTAACCTCAGTGAACGAGAGTGGGGGTGCCCCTTGGGCAGTGAAACCAGGCTGCCAAACCTGCCTGGATTCTTCTTCTGTTACTTAAACTGGATTCCACAGACCCCATGACTTCAAGGGGCCAGACCTATGAACCCTTTGACATTGAAAGCAAAATTATGAATGTATCTGCTTCATGAAGGTCTATGTGAACACAATTTCTGGACAGAGGGTGTACAACCTTCACTAGAATTTCAGAGGAGTCAGTGATCCAAAATAGGCTAAGACTGCTGGTCTAATTCTCCCTGTGTGTCTTCCTTCATCTCTGCAGGTGGAAAGCAGCGACACGCCAAAGGACACTGCAGTGACCTCCAAGTCCCCATCCACGGCCCAGGACTCAGGCCCCTCCGAACTGTTACCCAATGGGGACTTGGAGAAGCGGAGTGAGCCCCAGCCGGAAGAGGGGAGCCCTGCTGGGGGGCAGAAGGGCGGGGCCCCAGCAGAGGGAGAGGGTGCAGCTGAGACCCCGCCTGAAGCCTCCAGAGCAGTGGAAAATGGCTGCTGCACCCCCAAGGAGGGCCGAGGAGCCCCTGCAGAAGAGGGTGAGTCCCCAGCACAAGGGGCAGCCTCTTCTGGGCCCACCGGGATTCCCTTGAAGATCAGAGACTTGGTTCTCTGGCAGGTCCCAGGAGGGATGGGTTGGGTGGTAGCTGAAGGTCAACCTGCCAAGGCTATGGCATGGAGGCTACTGGTTAAGTGGAGCCGGCACACATTTTATTTGGCTCATGTAGTGTTTTAAACATTTGAAAAATTAGTTGCCAGTATTTAAAAATCAAAAAATTTCACATAAAAATCTGGAGTTTTGGCTTCCTTTGGAAAAAAAAAAGCTAGATCTGGCAACAGTGGGTTTGCAAAGTGCCAATGGTTGCTAGACTGGGATGATGGCGGGTCTCATCCACGGCTGATTGTGCCCCCCAGTTTCCCTTAGCCCCCACCTGGCCTGCTTACTCTTCCACGTGACCAGCAGCTCTTGGGGACTATTGTGTCTGTAGCCCCAGCCTGGGCACTCGAGGGCAGCAGATGCCCTGTGTGCCTCCCCCAGTGCGGAGGTCCTAAGCCCACCATAGTTTGGTTGACTCCCCTGGAAACTTGGTTGTCACAGTAGGGGCTGGGGGGCAGGTTGGGGTGGAGGTGGTCTATGCACTGCCCAGCCCAAGCCTCTTCATCTGGGGACTTTTTGGCCTAGCCCTGAAATCCTGGAAGGTTGCCCACTTTTCTCTTTTAGGTTAAGCCAGCAATTTCAGGGCCAACCGAGCTGTAAACATGTTAGTAATGAGGACAACTAGCATTTGTACAGGGCTTCACAGTTTACACAGCGCTTTCTCATACATTATCACATTTGATCCTCCCAGGGCCCTGCCAGGTTGTTTTGCATATGTGCATTTTAATTTCAAAAAGTCTTCCCTCCAAGTGTGTATGATGGAATGAGTAAATTGATTAATTGGCGTGACTTATTTTGCATGGATCCAAACCTAATATTCATGCAGGATAGAGAACATTTCCAGAAAAGAGATTCCAAACCTATTAAAAAGCTTTCACTCATTTATTATTCAACAAATATTTATGATGCTCCCACTATGGGCAAGAGCACTTGCTGAGGCATTTTGCATTTGTTGTTTTATTTGCTCCTCCAAACAATTTATTCAAGAGGCATTACTGTCCCCATTTTAAGGAGAAAATATTGAGGTTAAGAAGATAAAATGACTTGCTCATGGACCCCAATCTTAAGTGGCAGATCCAGGATTTATTAAATCCTGGTCACGTGCTTTCCCTCATCCTCTGCTGTTCTGGAATGGGGCTTGGTGGGCTGAGACGGTTCCTGAACTGTCCAGGCCCCCTTGCATGTATTCTGACCCTTCATGGGAGTGCGGGAAGGGCCTGAGTGGAATGAAACAGAGGAGGAAAAGGAGAAGTCACCATCCCTCCAGCTAACAATGCCAGGTATGCAAGAGAGACCCCATCAGCCCTTCCTAGCAAATGTGGTGCCTCCCCACGGGCCAGTCTCAGTTGACTTCCAGGCTCCTGGGATCCCACCATAGCTGGTGCCAAGCTGCTGCCCAAGGCCTTCCTGTCTTGTGGGATAAAACCTTGGCTCTAAGACTGCTCTTTAGCCTTGAAGGTTTGTTTTCAGTTTGAGATTTTCCTGTCTCCATTTATAGTTGTTCTCAGGAGCTCCTGCTTCAGTCAGTCAACAGGTGCTTATTAAATACCCATTTCATGTGTGCTAGGATCTCTACCAGGTCCTGGGGAAACCATCATGAACAAAAACGCAGTTCTTGCCTTCAGGGACCTCATTTGGCTCAAAAGAGACATTAATGAGAAATCCACACTTCAAAATGTGTGATTGTACGTGGCGACAGGTGCTCTAAGGGAAATCAAACATGGTTCCGTGAGGCCAATAACAAAGGAACCTGGGCTGGCGTGAGCTGTTATGCCTAAGCTGAAGAATGAGCTAGTCCATCAGGGAGGGAGAGTGGAGGGAGACAGTGAGAACAGGTATAAAGGCTCCCACCTGGGAGGGAGCAGGGCACCCAGGGACCTGGCAGAAGCCACAAAGCCAGAGTGCCAGGGAGAAGGGTGTGGGAAGCCCTGTGGGCGGACGGGCCAGACCAGGCCTTCGAGGCTGCCTTCTCAGGGGTGACATGATCACCTTTGCTATTTGAAAAGATCACTGTGTCATGTGCATCCTGGAATGGAGCAGAGGGGCAAGGAAGCAGGATGAGAGGCTGGGAGGCAGCTACAGGTGTCAGAGGGGAGGTGGGGTGGCCCTGATGAGTGAGGTGGCAGCAGAGATGGAGGGAGGTGACAAAGGCCAGGGATATGAGAGGGAAGGGAAAGATGGTATCAAGGATGATCCTGGGCTTGGGACTTTCAGACATTAGGTGGATCTTCCTCAGAATCTGAGTGCTGAGGATGGCAGGCAGAAACGTTCCAAGTCTGAGCCTCCAGAATTTGGCATGGGACACTCCTGTGTGGCCCCAGCTACCCAGGAAGGGGAGATGCTGACAGGGATCAGAGCTGGTGAGATCCCGGAAGGCCGCTGTGAATGGCCCGGATGCTGAGATTGGTGAGGTGTGTCCTAGAGGGGTGGGCAGTGGCCTACCGGAGGCTCTGCCAGGGTGTGGCAGGCAGTGGCTTGATCCGGGGTGGAGGCTCCTGCAGTCAGCTGACAGAGAACCCAGGCTCAGCTGGTCGTTCAGATGAGGAAGGAGACTGAGGCCCCAGGGAGGATGTGGCTGGCCGTGGTCTCCTTTCAGTTCCCCTCATTCCAGGTCTCTTCTCAGGGGGCCTGTCCATCTCTCCTGGAGCCCCTTTCATTAGTTCCTATATTGCAAAAACACAGGACTTTAAGGCAGCGTGCCTGTGGCCCGGGCACCCTCCCATGTGCACGTAGGAGGTCCAGATGCTGCTAGTACAGCCCAGGGAAGGAATCAGGAAGAGGGGAGATGGTGAAATGAGCCATAAGGACAAGAGCCAGCACCTGGACAGGCCGCTGCTTGCCTTGGGACTGCTCCTGCACGCCCCGCATTAACGTTGTAATGGTGGTGACAGTGCCGAAGGTGACGTGGCTGTCCTCTACTGAATGTCCGCTGGATTGGGTGTTCTCAATCCTCATTGCCCATGGTGGTCCACAGACCACTACCAGTGGCCACACTGCCTGGGAAGTTAGAAAGAGCAGAATGGAATTGCAGGTCCTACCCTAGACCTGCTGAATCAGAATCTACATCACAACGTGCTTCTCACAATTTCCACACATATTAAAGATGAAGAAGCCTTGCGCTGCATGTACTCTGATTTCATCCTTGTGATCCCGTGGGGAAGCCCCTTATCCCTATCTTTCAGATTAGCAGACTGGGAGTTCAGAGAGGTTACTTATGCAAGATTATATAACTAGTAAAGGACTGGATTAAGGTCAGCACAAAGCCCCCCTCTGCTTGGATTGAGCTTGGGGCCCAGGATCAGGCCAGCGATTGCCCCCTGAGGCACACCTGGCCTCAACCCTGCCATGGAGATTTGAGTTCATGGTGATGAGAACTTGGGTGGCCCCTGGCTGAGCAGTCTCAGTCCTAGAGGTAAATGTCAGAGTGCTCTGGCCTGCCCCCCTCCCTTCCCCATGACCTGAGATGCCCTAGGGTCATGTTCAGGCCTGCCAGGGCCACCCTGCAAGGCACCCAGCCACCTGGACCTGCCCTTGACCCTGGGTCTGGGCCAGGAGCAGCTGGGCTGCATGGGCATACTGAGAGCAGCTGACCTCCCTGACTCACGACAAGTGGCGCATTCTGAAGCAGCAGGCCAGGCTGGAAGGCGTGTGTGTGCATGTGAGAGAGAGAGAGAGATCACTCAAGTGGGCATGCGCAGAGTCTGTCAGGGAGAAAATTCCAGAAAGAAGCCAGTTGGAAACGGCATAAGGAAAAGCCATTCTGTTTGGGGGAGCCTTGGGAATCAGGAAAGGGGCACGTCAAGGAATAATGGTGGTGGTGCATGGGAGAGGGAGCTGGCCCGGGCATCAGGGACCCTGAAAGTTCATCTCAGCTCTGGCCGGAAGTCACTCCACTCCCCAGGCCTCAGTTTCCTCTTCTGCAGAATTTAGGGGCTGGACGAGTCCTCAAATCATCTCACAATTCCTCTCAGCCTTGATTTTGTTCTAGTGAATAAGTGATTCTCCATAAATGTAATCCAGTGCCATGGAAGTCCCAGGTGGGAACCGTTTGCGGTGCAAAGGAGACTGGGGGCGATGCTGTCTGGGGGGTCCCCGCTCCCACCCTGCGCGGGCTGACGCAGCTGCTCCCGGCGCCCCCTCCTGGCCGCCCGCGGCTCTGGGGCGAGCGCGGAGGTCCGAGAGGAGGTGGCGGCCGGGCCTGGGGGCGGGGGTTTGTGAAAAGGTGGGGAGCTGGCTGTGGGGGGAGAGGCCGGAAAGGAAGCAGGGAGGGGGAGACAGACGTGACGGTGCGACACACCTTAAAAGGCCGGCCACGTACAAAGCACCGGCAAGTACACATTCTCACCCACCCACACAGGTGCCCGCGACAGACGCCCGTGTCCCGCCCCCGCGGCCGCCCACGTGACATGCCTGACGCCAGGGCCCGGACCCTTCCTGACTCCCTCCCCAGTGCTGTCACCCGGGACACCGGCACACAGCCGGGGAGGACGGAGTTGTGCGGGCCGGGGCAGAGCGGGCAGAGCCCGGGACTTTGTAGTGAGCGGGAGGGCGACACCCTCCCGGCTGAGCATCCAGAGGCCATGACTGCCGGCTGGCTTCCGCTCAGAGCCAGATGAAGCAGGGGCTGTTTTTTCCGTTTTGGGCCTTTCGTCTCCCCCCACCCCAAGCTACCAGGAGCCAGCCTTGGTGACCTTCCTGCTTTAGGCCCAAGCTCAATGCTCGCTAGGCTCCAGAGAAAAGCGGCCAGGGGCCCAGGTGGAAGGAGGGCTCCCACACACGCTCCTGCAGGAAGCTGGGAAGGCACAACCCACCTGGCCCCAGGGTGTGGCCTGGGGAGGGGGCAGGGTGTCTCAGAGGAGCACAGGGAGAGGGCAGCAACCTTCCTAACTGCGGAGAAACTGGGAAGCTGAGCACTGCGGAATCACTTAGGGAAGGGGAACGACACTAACATGTATTGAGCGCCTACAGTATGCCAAGCCCTGCTCTAGACACTCAATGGTCACAAGAACCTAATGATTTTAGAACGTTTATCTACCTTGCTTCAGTGAGGAAACAGGCTAGGAGAGGTTATGGAGGTCACACTGAGACAGCTGGAATGTAAACCCAAGTCTAGAGTAAAGGCTGAAGTCTTGGCCTGAGAATGGGGCGGGGAAGGGAGGGACAGAGGCAGATAATAATAGAACCGTACTATTTCAAACTGCAGGAGGACCTTGGAAACCATCTCCAGCATCTTTATTTTCCAGGAGAGGAAACTGAGTCTCACAGACAAAGTTGCTTCACCAGGGTCTTGTTCCACTTGGTCCAGGGTTCTCTCCCTCCCCACAACACACACCCAGATATGCCTGGGAGTGTTTTTACCCCCAACACAGCAGCAAACACTCCCAGGGCCCCTCAAGGCCAGCCCTTCCTGTACCCCCTCCACCTTCCTGCTCCCTCTGTTGACTGGGAGTAGCAGAGTGGGATATTTTTAGTCCCCTTCTGTGTACCTGACACAGAGTCAACCGGCCAGAAACAATAGCCCTGACTTTTCTCTTATTCCTTCACACTTGAGCCTCAAACCCTACCTAGGCCTTGCCCTCAGCACTGTGCCTGGCATGTGGCAGGCCATCATGTTTGAAACCCGAACAAGTAAATGGTTGAAGGACCCCTGTCCCTTGTGGCAGGGCCCCCAGGCACAAAGTGGGGCCTCTGAGCCACTCCTGTAACTCTGCCAACGGTCCCTTTGTTCTTCCCTTCTCCACAGGCAAAGAACAGAAGGAGACCAACATTGAATCCATGAAAATGGAGGCAAGTGTTTTCCTCACCCCAGGGGCTCTGTGGATCCTGGTTCTAGAAGAAAGCCACGCCTCTGCCGCCACCGCCCCACTGTGGCGAGTGTGTGGGAGGGGGGTAGGAGGGTGGGCCCCCTTCTTTACACATCCCTCTGTGAGGAGAGGAAGTGGGTGTGGGGTTGGAAGTCCCCCAAGGAGGCAGCCAGCTCATCCTCCTCCGGAGACCAGGCACCTCCCCACGCGGCCTGTGTCCATGAGCGCCCACCCTACCGTGCACATCCCTCACTTCTCTAGCCTGGACAGGCCTGCCCAGCACTTCTGCGGCTGCCATCTCTGGCTGGGAGCAAGACTCCCCATGTGCCCTTCCAGGGGAGTGCCTCCTCAGCCCCCACCAGGAGGAATATAGCCTGCAGTGGGGCTGTCGGTGCCCACCTTAATGCCTCTCTGTCATCTCTCTGTCCTAGGGCTCCCGGGGCCGGCTGCGGGGTGGCTTGGGCTGGGAGTCCAGCCTCCGCCAGCGGCCCATGCCGCGGCTCACCTTCCAGGCGGGGGACCCCTACTACATCAGCAAGCGCAAGCGGGACGAGTGGCTGGCACGCTGGAAAAGGGAGGTGAGGTGTCTTCTGGCCTGGGTCCCAGTCTGTCCCACGGAACTGGAAAACCAGAAATTAGCTTCAGCTGCCATCTCGGAGTGTTGTCAGGCCCTAGCTGAGCCTCAGTCTCCCCTCAGATTAACCCCTAGAACTTACAGGGAACTGTTTGATCCCTAGAGGGTGACTGGTTCAATTGTTCTTTCTGCAAATGTTCGCTGAACGCTTACTGTATACCTGGCAGTGTACTAGGCTCTGTGCGTAAATGGTCTCTACCCTGGTGGAGTTGATGTTGTGGACACAAAACAAACAACAGACTGATGTAGAAGATAACAGAGGCCAGATTTAGGCAGGGTGGTCAAGATGGGCTTCCTGGAAGAGGTGACATTTCAGTTAAGATCTAAAGGAAGCGAAAAGCCGGCTGTGTGTGGCGTGGGGTGGGGGAGTGCTCTAGGCAGAGGAAACAGCACCCGCAAGGCCCTGACTTGTCTGGCCCAGGGTGAAAAGAGCCAGAGAGGAAGAGGCCACACATGGCTGGAGAGGCAGGCAGGGTCCAGCCACACAGGGCCTGGCAGGGTCTGGCCAAAAGCTGGTTACTTCTGAGTGTTCTGGGAAGCCACTGAATGATCTGATGTGGATTCAAGTGGCAGCAGTGGAGACAGGACAGCTTAGGATGTACTTTGGAGGTAAAATCAGCAGGGCTTGCTGATGGATGGGCAGGGAAATGTACACTCGCTTGAGGAGGACTCCCCGGACCTGGCCTGAACCTCCGGTGAGGGGTGAGAGTCGTACATCTGCTCAGATGGAGGCCAGTGGGGTGGAGTGCAGGCATGGCAGTCAGGGCTGCAGGGGTGAAGGTGGGCTCGAGAGCAGAACTGGCATTTACATCCACAGGGACTGAGGGCTCACCTGGGAGACGGGAGAGACAGAAAGTCCTAGAATTGGAATCGTGTCCACAGAAACCCCAACAGTTATGCCACATAGACAGGAGGAGTGGCAGGCATGGGGACTGAGAGGGAACGCTGAGAAGGGGCCAGGGAGGAGGGCAGGAGGGAGTGGTGTCTTGGGAGGCAAGAGGTTTTCCTGGGAGAGCGTCTGCCCAGCCCTGTGGAAACCAAACTCATGGAGACATGCCCATGGCATTGCACAACCTGGAAGGAGCTGGTGACTTTTCAGAGAAGCTTCTGTGGGGGGCAGGGGGGGAGCAGCCCTTGGAGGGCTTCAGCTGCTCACAGAGTGGGGAAGTGGAGGCAGAGGCTGAGAGACCCAGGAGGGCCATCACTCCCCCAAGCACCGTGTGTTTATTAGTGGAGAAAGGGAGGCACAGAGAGAAGAGGGTGGTGACCTACCTGCACCAGGAAGGGAGAGGAAACTGCCACCACGTGGGGCACTTCACCTTGGCTCTCATTTCATCTTTACCCCAGGCTTCTGAAGGAAGGCGGTCCCCTCAGTCACCCTGCGAGAGCCTGCTCTAGAGAAAGTGCCAGACAGGCGGGGGTTCTCACCTGCTTGACTGTTTCTAGTTCCTGTGGGATCCAGGAGGGCAGAAATTACTCTCCAGGGAGAGCCTGGAAGAAGGATGCCCTGTCTGAGGTCTGGGGCAAGAGAAGCACCTACCCTGAGTGGGGAAGTGCTGTCTTTGGGATGGAAATACTCCAGAACCTGCAGGGGGTGGTGGGGGCTGTGCTTTGTAACCCCTCGTTATTCGCCATGTTTCTGCTTAGCCCTGGGGCAGGAAGCTGAGATATTACCAGGTCTGGATCTGGAAGAGCTTTTAGACAGTCTGTGCTTCTCAAACTGTGCTCCCTTGAAGAAGCAGTAGGGAGTCCTGACCTCAGTTACAATGGAAAAAGGGATATTTTCTCAAAAAATTAAGAGAATAGATACATTTCTCAATTTTAAATGTTCTATTAAAATTTAAAAAGACTTTTAATATTATGGCTGGGCACGATGGTTCATACCTGTAATCCTAGTACTCTAGGAGGCCGAGGCAGGAGGATAACTTGAGTTAGGAGGTCTGAGCAAGAGCGAGACCCTGTCTCTACTAAAAATAGAAAAATTAGCCAGGCGTGGTGGCTGCACCTATAGTCCCAGCTACTTGGGAAGCTGAGGCAGGAGGATTGCTTGAGTCCGGGAGTTTGAGGTTGCAGTGAGCTACATGACATCACTGCACTCTACCTAGGGTGACAGAGCAAGACTCTGTCTCAAAAAAAAAAACAACTTTTAATGTTATGAACATTTCTAATGTTCACAGAAGTAGAGAGTAGTATAATGAACCCCCATGTATCTATCACCTGGCTTCGACAATTTATCAAAAGACTTTTCTAGTAAGTCTTCAGCCTTGGCATCTGCTTCCCTACACCCACTCAATGAAGGTAACAAGGAGTATTAAAAGAAAAACTAAAAAGTTGATTTAATTTAAAATATTTTTGGTATGTGTGACTTGCAGTGTGGGGCCTCCAAACAAAACACTTTCTGCTAGTAAGATTGTTCCTTGTTTACATGCTGAGAGCAAAGATGCCCATAGACCCCAGTACAAGTTTTAGGACTACTGATCCCTCATTTTCAGACTATGGGACTGGGTCTACAGGGTGATGTGTCAGGCTGCAAGCTTACACAGCACATTGGGAACGGGGCTGGCATAGAATTGGAGTTCAGGCTTCCCGCTCCTATGAGGGGCCTGGCTCCTGAACGTCACACTCCTCCTGGGCTGCGCTGGGGTGAGGAAGGGCTTGCTGCAGGTGTCAGGAATGGTGGGAAAACACAGGCAGCTTCCAAGATTCCCAAGTCCCTTTCAGACTCAAGAGTAGTAACAGTTGCCATCTAAGTGGGGTAACAAGAGCATGGAAACCCACCCTCTTTTCTCAGTCCCATCTTAGTTCCTTGGCATTTGACCCTTGCTTCTGAAATTGCCTCCCTAGGCCTTCCTGACATCCGTGCAGGTACCTCCCCGCCTCCTTCAGCTGCGTCTCGTCAGCGGCATCCTCTGCCCATAACTGTGGCCTCTGCAGATCGCTGCCCCCACCTGCTGCCAGTGTCCATCTACTTACGCTTACCTTCTCTCCTAGATCCAGCTACACGCCCTCCTCCCAAAACAGACACCTCTCCTCCTAACCAGCCACCTGCCTTCAGTGCTCAGCTCCCACTTTCCCAGGAGATGTCACTTGAAGGTCCAGCCAGCACTTCCTAATCTCAGAATGCCACACCTACTTTTTAATTCATTCGCGGCATCTTTACTCAGGCTACTACCAGAACCCTCCATGTCTGGTCGCCATGTACGATACAGGGGCTACGGGAAGCATAGAGATTCCTCATTCTCCCAAGAGAGGATGAGGCTCATGGCACCTGTAGGAAGAGCATTGCCCTGAGCAGGGGGAGTGGGTCGGACTAATTCTGCCTGGGGTCATCCATGCAGCAGCAGGAGATGGCTTTTGGCTTTTAAATTACTGGAATTTAGGGGAGGGGAAGTGAGGGGAAAGGCATTTCAGAAGGAGGAATAGGTACACAGGGCCTGAGGCATAAAACAGTGTAGCCTTTTTGGGAATTGAAGCACAGCATGGGAGTGTGGGCTGAGAGTAGCAGGAAGTGTGGCTGGAAGGTGGGGTCAGGCCAGGGCCTGAAGGGCTCCATGTGCCTGGTTGCAGAGCTGCCACCAGACCCTAGCCTGCGCCTGTCCCTTCCCTTCCCCTAGTCTGTGTACCCCCCTGGGGGTCTGCTTCTTCAAAATGCACCCCCCCAGCTTAATTTCCTTTTCCTTTGACCACTCTTTTCAGTAGGACCACAGTTATTGAGTGAGGCTTACTCTTTACTTTTCTGTCCACCCAAGATCACCAACCTCCCCAGGCTTTTCCCCTCCAAATTTTAAGACTTAGAATACCACAAAATGAATTAAATTTAAAATAAGTGGATGAGGAAATGAGACATTTTCTCCATCCCTGGGGCTGACATGGGAATTCCTGCTGGAGCTGGGAAGCTGTTGTCTTGTCTGTTCCACCTCCTATTCCTGTTCCTTCACCTGTTTACTAGTCCTCTTATGGATTAACTTCTGCTCTACTCATGCCCAGCCCTGCTACAGAACCTACAATGGCTCCTCATTGTTCCCCCGCCTCACCCCCCCCCCACCATGATGTCAAGTATCCTCTGGCTGCTTCTCAAGGCTTCAACTCTGTGACCTCCACAATTAACCCACCCCACTTCACTATGATTCTCTAATGGGTCCCTTATGAGGGACCAATCTCCCCTTCGCCCTTACCATGCTCCCTCCTTCCTCCCTGCCTTTGTTCCTGCTGTGCTTTCTGCTATCCATGAGTTGAGGCCAAGAGCTGCTGCCTCCTCCCAGAAGCTCTCCAAGATTTCTCCAGTCTATGTTGACCTCTTCCTTTCTTGGAACCCCTGTAGTCCTTGCTATTAATATTGTTGGGTTTAGCACTCAATTATATTACATGCGATATTTTTCACTATTGCTTATGTGTTAATCATGTCTTCCCCTGTCATGGCTAACCAGATATTGGGCAGGGAGAGCAGGCTCGGTGATTACCTGTTGATTGGCTAAGCAGTTGAGAGGTTGGTGAATGGAGACCCCTTCCCTGGGAGCTTGGGCCCTTGCATTTCCCCATGATGAGGACCCACGTGCTTGATCTCCAGGTGGTTTTTCCAGGGGTGCTGACAGGTGTACCTGGAGGATAGCATAGGCCAGGGGACCCGTATGGGAAGCCTCCCACGGATAAGGTGGGGCCCAGAGCCATCCCCACCCTGTGCTCCTGCTGAGCTGAGGAGAACCTTCCTTGGCCTGGCAGAGCCAGCCCCAGCCCAGGTGGTGGGGAGGACAGAGGCGAGGCAGCTCCGCCTCCCAAAGGAGAACAGTTCCTGGGCTCCTCTTCCTCATGATAAGCAGGACAAAACAGACCCTGAGGGAGCCCTGTCGGTTTAGGAAGGGCTTCTCACCAGTCTCTTCCTTGGTCCTGGCTACAGCTCTGCAAGGTGCAGGGACCTAGGGTAGGTGGCTGGGATGTCGGCCTAGT